CCGGGATGAGGACTCCACGGAGAGCCGCTCCCCGCCGTGTTACCGGATCCGGAGCAAGGACTTGTCTGAAGCGTGGCAGGCCAGCAAAAAGGGGCACAATGTCTCTGCCATATACAAAGCAGCCAGCTTGGGGGCTGCTGGAAGGAGTCAGGGTGAAACCCGTGTGGTACCGAGGGGCTGAAGCTGGAGTTTTGGCTCCTGGGGGACAGGCAGAGGGGCTGTGGGGATGCCAAACAGCTGGCTGCTGCCTGATGCTCCAGGCCTAGGGCTGCAGGCAGTGCCAGGAGGGCTGAAGGAGCGTGGGGAGACGAGTGCTGGCAGCACCCCATGCATCTTCCCCGGGGCAGCGCAGCAGAGGTTAAATAAAAACAAAAAAGCATCAGGGAAAAGGCTGTTTCTGCAAAAGTGGTCACTAGCAAAGAAAGGCAGCCAGGCCCCCAGGGATGCTCGCCTTGCCGAAGGATGAAATGGGATTACGATGGTAATGTTTGCTGCACTGTAATTACGGTGGTGTCAGGACTTTCATTAAAAAGTGTGTTTTTGTTGGGGGGGGCTATGGCTTGGAGAAAATTTTTGCTTGAGGCTGAAATATAACATTGTTCTCAGCCACAAAACGTATGAACAGCCTTTATTATATATGTAATTTAGAATCTTAGTATAGTCTTGATTGTGGAGGCTTTACTATTGTTTCCATGTGTGCATGCAGCTAATTGGTTTAAAACATTAGTTATTAAAGAAGTAAAGGACTGAATTCTGGCTGGACCTCATGTAGGTGACACGTCCCCATTAATTGTCCACAATTAACTTTGAAACCCAAAGGCCAAATCCTGCCCTTCTTACTCAGACACGTAGTTTTATTGAAGTAAACAGCTGCAAGCAGGATTGGGCTCCTAGTGTTTACCTGACTTCGACCCAAGGCACCTGCCTCTCCCACATTAAACTCCTTTACAAGTGAGGCCATCCCGCCTGGGACAGAGATCATTTCCTCGCAAAACTGGCCATATATGACAAGGTTATTTCTACTAATAGTATCTAAATTGCTATTATTGTAGCACCCAAGATCTCAGGTAAGGAACCAGGACCCCTATTCACTAAGTGCTGTACAAAACACACAATAAAAACATAGTCCAACTCCAAAAAACGTATGATTGAATGCACACAAACAAATACTTTCCTCTGTTTCATGGCCAGGTTTGTATTGTTTCTGTTAAGTAATCTGAGTGTAATGCACCACTCCTGCAAACAGCAAACACTGCTCGGACATTTATTTAACTTGCTGCATGATAAAGTCCTAACTTCACACCAGTCTTTCGTCTTTCCCCGGGGGTGCACACAAAGTGGCCAGGTACTGCCCGGGGTGCTTGCTGCCGGCTCTGGGTTTTTTCCTGGCTTGCATGTATCTGCAGCGCAGCGAGCGTTTAGCATGTACTGGTTTCAGATACTCATTAGATTTTACTCAAACCATTAGCATTCTATATTTTCAGATTAAAAAAAATCACACAACTACTAATATGTCATAAAAGATAATTTCTCCGCGGCCTACCGTGGAGAAACTAAAACTAAAATTCAGAATATTAAAGTTTATAAAATTACAGTTTCATAAAGGTGCAAATGGCATGAATTGCAATGAATTAGGCAAGTCACAAAGAATGGAACCGAAGTTCATTAGTAACTTGTGGATGCTTTATGTGACTTCACATGGATGCTAACAAAATACAACGTAACATAGCACAGTCCATTGTTCCTTATAAGAACAAATCACATAAATTGCAAGTTTAGGAAGCATTTAAGCATTTCTACAAGTGCTTAAACACAGAAGAAACTTTATTCGGGATGTAGTTGTCTTCAGTGAAACTATTCATGCATTTAGTTACTCATCTGCATAATTTAGCATCCCCAGGATCACAGCCTTGGTATGGAGTAACTTAACGAATCTCAGTATAGTGCATCAGCTACCAGTTGTCCAAATAGCAAGATTCAAATGTAAACAAGTGATGCTCTCACTAAGTACAAATGTGCAAAATGAACATTCCTAACAGACAAAGCTTCTCCACGTAGGAAGGTGTTATTAATAATACCACCACAGTCAGGCAAGCGTCATTCCTCATGTGGACAAACTCACTCTGATATGAGTACCTTTTTTGGTTTCATTTAAATGAATTAATGAAGTTAGAGTTGCTCTGAAAAAAATCCAGAAGACGCCAGAATGAACGAGTCTGCATCAGAGTTCTACTATAACCACTAGTTTTAAATTCACACTTTGGCGTGCACAAAAAGAACATTTTCTTATGAAGATAAAAGCCTCCACGTGTAATAACTCGATATATAGACAAGCCCTAGGGGCTTGCATCTTGAGCACTTAACATTTTTGGCCCTGTCTTAATGGATAAAAGAGGTGTGTTTCTCAGTCACATTAGCCCAGTCAAAGTAGCTTAATCTGAAGAAAAGGCCTTAGGCTTTGGCGAGAGCAAGGTGTAAAGGTGTGAGGTTAGCACATCTATCACAGCGTGGGCAAGGCTGCCTTTAACACACACTAAACTCATCAAGTTAAAGCAGGCAGGGGATGGGGAGCCCAGACTGTGTTAGCCCATGTTCATACAGACTCGAGGTTAGTTTGTGTGTGGAGCAGCTATTGTAGAATATAAAGCGGGGTATTTCACGGCGGGGAGCAGGTGAGAAAACAAGAACTAGAGTGAAATATTTTTCGTCATAGACTGTGAACCGTAGTGGCTCCAAGGAGAGCAGTCAGATGGATTTCAGGGGGACTGGACCTCCACACTATCTGTCCATTGCTCTGGAGCACCTGATAACTGGAATTCTCCAGCTGTCTGGACGAGAAGTGAGGCTTATCCCCCACCATCTGCAGCAACAAGCGTCTCACCACACAGCTGGGAAAGTCACTGTTGCCCAAGGGTGCGTCGTACCCACTATCCAGGCTGTGCTGCTGCCTGAAGTAAGACAGAGCTACAAGATGACAAATAAGCAAAACTGATGAAAAGAAGAAACAAACATTTCAAGTTTAAAACTCGACATCTACAACGCATTCATTAGCATATGACAATTAACACATGCTGACATTTTTTTTAGTCCAGCCAAGTTTAGTACAAATAAACTAGGAGTCACGTATTTGTATGATGTAATCCTGATTTTGCCACTTTATTTAGTCTTTGTCTAGAACACTTTTAAATTATCTTGGGGTTGTTTTTATTTAATACTGATATAACAGTTATCCAGCTATTTCTGAACTACTTGTGTGAATACTAACGCAGATGAAGAAAACCACCATGGGAAGTTGATGTGGTTACTACCCTCAACTGCCCACTGCACCTTTTTCCCGCAGGTTGCTACTCTTGCAGCAAGGACAGCCAAACGGGCTGTGCACCGGCACCAGGATCTCCCCAGTCTTCAGAGCAGCATATTGATGTGAGCAGATGTTCACAACTGTGAATGACCAATTTAGCACAGGTTAAACACAAAGTGGTTCAATATGCTGAACATTTAAGATGTTAGGATGTTGCTGACATAGCTTATAAATGAAGCCTTTGTGACAACCGTGCCCTGGGCTGCATCCCCAGCAGCGTGGGCACAGGGCGAGGGAGGGGATTCTGCCCCTCTGCTCTGCTCTGGTGAGACCCTCTGGGAGTCCTGCGTCCAGCTTTGGAGCCCTCAGCACAGGACAGACATGGACTTGTCGGTGTGGGGCCAGAGGAGGCCACAAAAATGATCCGAGGGCTGGAACCCTTCTGCTGTGAGGAAAGGCTCAGCCTGGAGAAGAGAAGGCTGCGGGGAGACCTTAGAGCAGCCTTCCAGTACCTGAAGGGGCCTACAAGAGAGCTGGAGAAGGACTTTTTACAAGGGCATGGAGTGACAGAACAAGGAGCAATGGCTTTAAACTGACAGGGGGGAGATTCAGACTGGATATAGAAAAGAAATTTTTTACCATGAGGGTGGTGAAACCCTGGCACAGGCTGCCCAGAGAGGTGATAGATGCCCCATCCCTGGAAACACTCAAGGCCAGGTTCGACAGAGCTCTGAGCAACCTGGTCCAGTTGAAGATGTCCCTGCTCATGGCAGGGGGGTTGGACTAGATGGCCTTAAAAGGTCCCTTCCAACCCAAACTGTTCTGTGATTCTATGAACTTGGTGATCTTTTCTGCAGTTGAAACACATGTGCGAAGAGAACAAAAATTGAACTTTGTGTTTTAAGTAGAGTAGTGCACGATCATGAAACTGGCAGAGTTCTGAACTAATGTCATAAAAGAGAAAGTATCTGGATCCCATTCTTGATAGAATCTGGAATAATTTTCTCATTATTTCTGTTGCAGACACCACTTTCATTGTATAATGGTACAACAGTACTTATATATACCAGTTGTAATTTTCCTTTAATTATTTCTATAGCAGGATTGTTTTCCTTAACCTGCTGCTTTAAGACAGTGTCCCATCTTCAACTTCTTCCATTACTGTGCATATGAAAATATCGCTCTTTGTCATTAAGCACACTGGGACAACTTAAGATGTTCTGAAGTTAAAACCGTTAGCATGGCTTGTTTAACCAGTACTGCACGGGTCCAACTTATATTTCAGCAACAACCAAAAAAACACCGAAATGTTTATTTTAAGGACGGTTAGAATGTAAAATTCTAGTTGAAAGTTTCAAAAATGCCTGCCCTTGAAAGTTAAAAAAAAAAATCAGGCGTGTCAGTTTGCCTGAGTTAGTTTACAATGAACTGGAAGATCTCTTAGCATTCAGTAAAGCAGAAGACCTGTTCATTTAATATTACATCTTTGCTGTAAAAATGTGTGTTTTCCAGACAGAGATAATTTATAATAGGTGGCTAGCATTGGCCAGGTATAAATGTAAAAATGTTCCTGACAGCGCTGTTCAAACGTCCTGAATCAACAAAGCACTCCTACGCAGAATTGATGTTTGGTGACACAGTTTCTCCTAGCTTGTTCCCCTGCCTTCACCGAGTGATAAATAATGCTAGCAAATACACAGCTTCCTACAGTTCCACCTCTGCTGTGGGCTCCTGCTCCCAAGTCTCGCTCAGTCCCACACAGTTCTTCACACCTTTGATTGGCACAGCGATGGCTGCAGCGGTTCACTGACCAGACCTGCCTAGCTTTGTTCGGACACGTAACGAGGTCAGGCACAGCCATATCACTAATAAGTGTAAAAGTCCTTGAACACGCTCTTGTCCTGGACCACACTACACCAAAGTGAACTTCATCCCACCTCTGCTCAGATTTTATATTGTCATAGCTATATATAAATATAGTTAATATAAAAAACAATGGAGAAAAAAATCAAAAACACAGCTCAACCACTTCCAGGTGATCTAAAGGTGTTAAACAATGTTGACACCAGAGGACCGGATGACCATGGGTGGACAAGTGAATCTCGTGATTTCACAGAGCGTCTCTCTGCTGTGGGACGCGACGGCTATTCCCCACACACCTAGCGTGCCCACAGCGTGCTCACGCGTCTCAGCTCAAATCAATTTGCACATGCACAGTAGCTCTGACACATCCTAGACTCACCCAGGCCACTGCGCCTGTGCGGCAGCTCCGCACACGCACTGTTTCAGGAGATGGCCATTTTTTTCACCAGACCAGATGGCAACCTGGCAACTCCAGCAAATGCTACACCAGCCATCCCACTGTGCAGGGGCTGTGGCCTTTTACTTCCCTCTCCCTCCCTTTCCCTGCTTTTTTCCTCCCTGCTCCGCCCAAGCCTGTGTAGCATGAAATGTTTTGGGTTAAATTACGCTAACTTGCCTGAGTTAACGAAATTCAGAAGCACTTTCTTCTGTGTTAGACAACATGTCAACAGATGAAGCTCCCGTATCTGAAGCCCTACGAGCAGCGCACCTACGTTGTCATTTGCAGACTTCATGGCACAAACATTTAGCTCAGGAATTATTTTTTAATTTGGCAGAAACGAGTACATTTTCAGCAATAGGGCCAAGCAAGTCACACCAACAATCCAGCTGCTGTCCTCGCACGGCTGAGCGCAAGGGATGGCTTTGTATGTCTTTATAGATGTATGTTTGCATACATGCATATAGATGGAGATAAATGTATCACCTCTCTCTCCAAATACAGGTATGAAAATGTCACAAAGGTCTACTTTAATAACCCACAAAGCTGGGAAATGAACCGACGCAGGCTTTTTGTTATGAAATGGTTCCCAGGAAAACAGGCCAGCAGAAGCCGTGTCCGCTAGATGGAGATAAATGTATCACCTCTCTCTCCAAATACAGGTATGAAAATGTCACAAAGGTCTACTTTAATAACCCACAAAGCTGGGAAATGAACCGACGCAGGCTTTTTGTTATGAAATGGTTCCCAGGAAAACAGGCCAGCAGAAGCCGTGTCCGCCGCAATGGGCCGTTTTCATTTGATGTTTCTGAAGCGAACAAGTGAAAATTTGGGGAGGGAAGCGGAGCGCAAAGCTCTGGGTCGCTCTGTTTGTTTTCACGTCAAAAAGAAAAACCACCCGGTGACCGCCATGAGCTCCTCCTCCCCT